CTGCGCCGTCCATTAATTTTGTCTTCCATTCTTCTTTCCCCCGCAAAACAGCACTCTCTGGGGACAAACTAGACATTTGGTTCGAGACCAGGGGGAAGGGTCGATGGAAGAAGATTGGAAAAAATTCAAAATATACCTTCAAAAATATTGCAATATAAAAGACTGTTAGAAAGAGGTTGGAAAAAGAATATTAGGTTGTTTGGGTAGACATGACATAAAGGATTAAGCAAAAATGAGTTGATGAAATTGATGAAATAGAGGAGGTTTAATCACATTATTTTAATTTTAAAATACGTAAATGAAAATAAGGTTAGAAGGATTTGCTGGAAATATGATCTGAACTAGAATACAAAATTGGGAGGTGAGAGGAGGTCATGGAAATAAGTAAAGGGAAAAGGTTATGTAAAGGTTTAATCTGTTTTCATTTTATTCTAATTTAATGTATTTTTATATTTTTTGTTAAGTCTTTTTCTTTTATCTTATTTTACTGTTCATTTTTACTTGTTCATTTTTCGTTTTGTTATGGTGAAAGTTTTTTTTTTGTATTTTGTATGGTTTTTCTTTTTCTTTTTTGTAACTTTTAACTTTAAATTTGGAATAAATATCATTTTTTAAAAAACAACAAACTAGACATTTGGGAGCGTTTCCTCCCGAGATTTCAGAGGAATACTTTCCATTGGGAAATCTTAACAGGGTGGTTCAGCAGGACTTCAAAGCACACACAGAGTTCCACCCCCTTCACCTGGGAGCCAGACACCCTTCCCACCTGTTGGATTGAAAGTAAAGGACTTTCAGCTTCTGCCCTGGTGCCTCTTATCTTATAAACTCTGGTGCTTCAGCGAGGATGAGTGTCTGGCTGTTAGTTCTGCGATAAGGGGCTCCGTGAAGCATCTGCAACCTTCTTTTATAGATTTCTGGTTTGTAACGAGCTGCTTAAGACGATAGCTGCGCCTGTACATCCTCTGGTGGATATTAACAAGGCTTTAGCGAAGGTGGAGAAATGACTTAAGGAACATAGATAAGGATGCAGAGACCAGCCGCCACACAGGCTGCAAAGGCTTTGAAGTCGTGCTGTTGGAAAATGGACAACGTGTTAAAAGATGAGTTTCTGCAAGAGGAGAGAGAGAGGAGTGCAGAGAAGCAATGCCTGCACATTGCAAGAATAAGGCTATGTTCCCAGTAGTATTGCCTGGCTTATTGGTCGTCTTAACAGGGCGATGCAGCAGCAAAAAAAGCTAATGCTATTCTCGGCTGCGTCCACAGAAATCTGGAGTCCTAATCGAGGGAAGTCGTAGTCCTGCTCTATTCTGCCTTGGTCAGACCACACCTGGAGTCCTGTGTCCAGTTCTGGGCACCACAGTTTAAGAAAGCCACTCCCGGCTGTGTCACCCCCTGGCCAGCCAATCAGCTGGCTCTGGGGGCGTGGCCTGCCCGGGGATCTCCCTCTTTTGCTGCCTACCAGCTGTTCCTGCTTTTCCCACCCTATAAGGTTCTCGTTCCTTGACCTTGCTGTGGACTGGTCGCCGTTGAGGGACCTGGTAGGAATTATTCCACTTGGCAAATTGGCACCAGCTACTTGGTTTTCACCTACCTCGTAGCAAACCATCACAACTTTCTTGGTATTGGCAGTTAAGCATTGGTATAGTTCAGTAGATGGAAGCGGGGAGGAAGCGCCATCACCTGCCCCACATATTGAAGGGTAGTCCGATAAAGGATTCCAAGGTGTGTGGCCACGCACTGGATCCACACTCTTCCCCAAATTGGCCCCTCTGCCAAAACGGATCTGGGTCTCTCCCCTGTTCCCCATCCTTGCCCTCGGATGCCTCTGTCTCGCTGCTAATTTGCATGGCGAAGAGCTTCCCTTAATGAGCTCCCTGGTACGGAAACAGCTGCGGCTGTCATGGCAACTGCCGGGCTTTGACATCCCTCCCTGGGAGGAGTCTCAGCAGGTGCTTTGGGGGGGATCCCCCCTCCCTGTCTCTGCTCCTCCCCCAATTCATCCATCTCCCCCTTTCGACCAGGTATGGGGTGTGTGTGGCTGTCTCTCTTGGGGGGGGGTTTCCAAATGGGGAGAGAAAGTCCCCTCGCCTTGATGGGCACCAAACCTCATTAGCGTCTTTTATTTCCTAGGGAGGTCACGCTAATGATTTACTCAAGTCGCTCTGATTCTTATTTGGGGAGGGGGGAGCGCCGCGCAAGAGAGAGAGGGAGCACGGCAATGAAAAATTCATGGGACCATAATTAAAACATGACAGCCCGCAAGGTGTCTACATATTTGCCGGGAACGCGTGATGTCAATGGGGGGAGGGGAAGCGATGCTTTATTGCAAATAATTTGTTGTTGTTTCGTCGTTTAGTCATGTCTGACTCTTCGTGACCCCCTGGACCAGAGCACACCAGGCCCTCCTGTCTTCCACTGACTCCCGCAGTTTGGTCAAACTCATGCTGGTAGCTTCGAGAACACTGTCCAACCATCTCGTCCTCTGTCGTCCCCTTCTCTTTGTGCCCTCCATCTCTCCCAACACCAGGGTCTTTTCCAGGGAGTCTTCTCTTCTGATGAGGTGGCCAAAGTATTGGAGCCTCAGCTTCAGGATCTGTCTGGCCAGTGAGCACTCAGGGCTGATTTCCTTCAGAATGGAGAGGTTTGATCTTCTTGCAGTCCATGGGACTCTCAAGAGTCTCCTCCAGCACCAGAATTCAAAAGCATCAATTCTTCGCTGACGAGCCTTCTTTATGGTCCAGCTCTCACTTCCATACATCACTACTGGGAAAACCATAGCTTTAACTATACAGACCTTTGTTGGCAAGGTGATGTCTCTGCTTCATGTTACAAGAAAGAAGATTCTGAATAAACATCAGGAAGAGCTTTCTGACAGTAAGAGCTGTTCAGTGGTGGAACAGTCTCCCTCCAGAGATTGCGGACTCTTCTTCCTTGGAAGTGTTTAGACAAAGCTTGGATGGCCATCTGTCAGGGATGCTTGAGCTGAGATTCCTACATTTGCAGGGGGTTGGACTAGATGACCCTCAGGGGTCCCTTACCACTCTACGATTCTATGATTCTATGAGCCTAGTATAGAAGGTGCTAAGAAGATGGCAGGCTGGCAGGAGAAGGAGGGCTGCATCTGGGGCAGAGAACTGGCAGAGAAAAGGGCTGTGGCTCAGTGGCAAAGCCTCTGTTTCAGATGCAAGAGGTCCCAGGTAGGCCTGGCAGGAAACCCAGAGCGGCTGCCAGTCAGGGTAGACAATATGGGGCTCGATGGACCAGTGACCTGACTCTGCAGGAGGCAGCTTACCTGCTTCTCTCTGTAGCTGCAGAGACGTGGAAAGCCTTCTTGCTTTTGAAACATCCGGCTGCTTCTTGGGCTGCGGCCGGGTGGTTTGTTTTCGTCTTTCTCTGGAAGCAGCTGGGTTGTGACGAATAATAGCGGGATTTCCTTTGCACCGCCGCCTCCAGAAAAACCTTTGAAGGCCCGCGGGCTGGGAAACGGCTGCTTGCTTGCTTGCATCCCGGCTTTCTTCCCGAATACCTCGCCCTGGCGATCCAGCTGAGAGCTTTCCGTTGATCTGGGGAGGCCCCCTTGAGACCCAGTCAAGGAACAGCATTCTCTCTCTCCCTCCCTCGGTCGTGACTGCTGCTGGCTGCTCGCTTGGCGAGCCGGAGAGCCCTGATGAAGGGGGCGCAGGGAGATTCGGCTAACAAGCCCCCTCTTGGCTTCAAAGGCAGGGATGGAGTCTTCAGGAACACGGTTACAGAAGACTTGACGAAGCGGTAAGGGATTGCGCGGGGACGAGATCAGAGGATGCCGCAGCCAGAGCCCAGTCACAGAAAATCATTCCCCAAGAAGGGAGCCACAGCGCCGGTACAGCAGATTCATTTTTCCAGAGCAGCGGTTTCTTTTTCTTACTCGCTGAGATGCATCAATTGCAGTTTGCTTTCCGTCTCCCACAGTTGTCCCCCGGGGAATGAAGTGGGCTGTTGTTGTTTTTGTAGGGGAGGGTAGTATCACCTGGAGAAGCACCCAAAGTCTTAAGTACCTAACGATGTCATTGAGCTACTACCTCATTGGGGGGTGAGGGTGCTATTGGACAGTGCCTGTGACATCACTGCTGGCTGGCGCTCAGGGTGGTCCTCACCCTCTCTCGTGCTGTGCATTTTTGGAAACTTAGAAAAGAGTTTTCTTTTCCTTTTTTTTAAAAAAGCAGTAGGTTTGTGTTTTGGTAAAATCCTTGTTCACTTGGGTGGGTGAGCTATCCAACAAGCTCTTCAAATGCGGGAGAGGAGCGCTTCAAAAACAACACCCTTCCGCCATGAGAGTCTTTTTGCTTTTTATTAATGCATTTTCACTCCAGTTTTCTGAGCTAGAGTGCAAGAGAAAGAAAGAAAGAGAGAGTGGGGGAGAAGGAGAGAGGGGGGAGGGAGAATTTATTGGACAGAAAACATGTCCTCCGTAAGAAAAGAACAAACTGTGTGTTTTTTCCTAGGCCGGCCTTTCCCAACATGGTGCCCCCACCCAGATCTTTGCTGGACTTCAACTTCCAGCACCTGTGCTGGCTGGGGGGGGGGCGCGAGTTACAGTCTGGCAACATCTGGAGGGCACTGGGTTGGGAAAGGCTGCCTTAGAGCAGAAATGCAATTTGCCTGTGTTCATCTCTGGGATTGCACAGGCACTAGGAAATGCACACCTGTGAGGTAATGCTTAAGAAATATCACATGAGTGGGACTGTTCATTAAGACCCCCATCGCAGACCCACTGCGGGCACCTCCACCTTCAGGCTCAGACTGGTAGCAACTGGGGGAGCATGGCCTTCTTGGTGGTGGCCCCCAAATTAAGGAGCGCTTTCCCCAGGGAGGCTTGCTTGCCACCTACTTTACTGGGGCTAAGGTGAAAGGTGACGCTGATTTGAATCTCTTGTGGTGTTTCAAATAATAGAATCATAGAAGTGTAGAGTTGGAAAGGACCACAAGGGTCATCTAGTCCAACCCCTTTCAATGCAGGAATCTTTTGCCAGATTGGGGACTCAAACCCACAACCCTGAGATTAAGAGTCTCATGCTGTACCAACTGAGCTATATTGTGGTGAATATCATTTGTTTGGTATAGTATATACAGTGGTACCTTGATTCTCAAACTTAATCCATTCTGGAAGTCCATTCCGAAACCAAAGCATTCCAAAACCAAGACGCGCTTTCCCATAGAAAGTAATGCAGATCGGATTAATCTGTTCCAGACTTTTAAAAACAACCCCTAAAACAGCAATTTAACGTGGATTTTACTGTCTAACGAGACCATTGATCTATAAAATGAAAGCAATCAACAATGTACAGTGGTACCTCGGGTTAAGTACTTAATTCGTTCCGGAGGTCCGTTTTTAACCTGAAACTGTTCTTAACCTGAAGCACCACTTTAGCTAATGGGACCTCCCGCTGCCGCCCCACAATTTCTGTTCTCATCCCGAAGCAAAGTTCTTAATCCAAGGTACTATTTCTGGGTTAGCGGAGTGTGTAACCTGAAGCGTCTGTAACCTGAAGCGTATGTAACCCGAGGTACCACTGTATTGTGGTCACACAATCAATCAGTCGATGGCTGAACTGGGTTCCACACAGTCACAAAAACAGAACAAAAAAGAGCCGCAAAAACGCCAAATAAATAGCAAAAACAGACAGACCTCAGCGTAACACTCAAAACGGAAGTGTGGCTCTCAAATCAGAAGCGTAACACTCAAAACGGAGCACATTCGGCTTCTGAAAAAAGTTTGCAAACCGGAACACTTACTTCCGGGTTTGCAGTGTTTGGGTTCCAAGTTGTTTGAGTACCAAGGCGTTTGAGAACCAAGGGACCACTGTATAATGTTACTGTTGGTCTCCTTTTCTGTTTTGTTTGTGAGTGCATTTCAAATTGTGTGCGTTGCAAATGGATTGGTTTGAACTTTTGACACATGGAGGTGTTTGCCTCCTTGGTGGATTTTGTTTGTTTGATTGATTGATTGATTGAAAGGCTGGATACAGTCGTAAGCAGAGACCTGCAGCTGAATCAGGTCCAGTGGTCCCTTCTAGTGTAGCATCCTGTTCTCACAGTGGACAACCAAATTCCCAATAATATGGGAAGCCAAGGATCCAAGCGTAGACCCCTCTCCCATCCTGCCATTTCCAGCAACGGGTATTCAAAAACATTGCAGCCTCCGAAAGCGAAAGGAGAGCGTAGCCGTTGTGGCCAGGAGCCACAAATCGTCTTATTGTCCAGGGCAGAAGTGTTTTAAATCAGTCGAGAAAAGCATTCTCAAGAAATGCGCCTGCCATTCTTGGCCCAGGAGTTGCTTGCAATTTCATCTCTTCTCTGCTTATGTAAGCTCCTTGCTTAAAGGTAAAGGTAAAGGTACCCCTGACCATTAGGTCCAGTTGCGAACAACTCTTGGGCTGTGGCGCTCATCTTGTTCTATAGGCTGAGGGAGCCAGCGTTTGTCTGCAGACAGTTTTTCTGGGTCATGTGGCCAGCATGACTAAGCCGCTTCTGGCGAAACCAGAGCAGTTCACAGAAACGCCATTTACCTTCCCGCCGGAGCGGTACCTATTTATCTACTTGCACTTTGACGTGCTTTTGAACTGCTAGGTTGGCAGGAGCAGGGACCGAACAATGGGAGCTCACCCCGTCGCGGGATTCGAACCACCGTCCTTCTGATCGGCAAGCCCTAGGCTCTGTGGTTTAGACCACAGCGCCACCCGCGTCCCACCCAAGCTCCTTGCTTAGGTACAGCATTACAGAGGAACACAAGGAGAGTCTCCTGGATCAAGCCAATGGCCCCTTCTAGTCCGGCATCCCATTCTCACTGGGACCAACCAGGGTAAGGTAAAAGGTAAAGGACCCCTGGACGGTTAAGTCCAGTCAAAGGCGACTATGGGGTTGCAGCGCTCATCTCGCTTTCAGGCCGAGGGAGCCAGTGTTTGTCTGCAGACAGCTTTCCTGGTCATGTGGCCAGCAGGACTAAACCGCTTCTGGTGCAACAGGACACCGTGATGGAAACCAGAGCACACGGAAACGCGTTTACCTTCCCGCTGCAGCGGTACCTATTTATCTACTTGCACTGGCATGCTTTCGAACTGCTAGGTTGGCAGGAGCTGGGACAGAGCAATGGGAGCTCACCCCATTGCAGGGATTTGAACTGCCGACCTTCTGATCGGCAAGCCCAAGAGGCTCGGTGGTTTAGACCACAGCACCACCTGCGTCTGTGTACAGAACATTGTCCATGCGCACTGCCTCTGGCTCAGTGCCGGATTTACATATAAGCTAAATAAGATATAGCTTAGGGCCCCGCTCTCTTGGGGGCCCCAAAAAATTGTAAAGGAAAAAACACCTGCATGTACATTTCCAAAATATAAGATAAAAACACATAAAATAAAGCCTACATACAGCAACAGTGTTTTGTTTTGTGTTGTGTAGGCTCCTAGGATGTAAGTCATAGGCCCCACCTGCTCGCCTGCTCCCTCAAATATCACTGGTTTGCTCATTTCTATATATAGGGTGCCTACACTCTGCATGGACTGGTTGCAACGCAACATGTGCAAATGGCTTTAGATACCTATTAGGTCCACGAATTACCTTATAGCATATATTCAGCACAAAAAACAGTGACCATTTGTTGTTGACAAAGGACAGCTGGACATATAAAGGGCCCCATTATCTTCAGTAGCTTAGGGCCTCATCAAACCTCAATCTGGCCCTGCGCGCTGCCCTAAATCTTTTTCTGCTGTGGAGCCACTGACAGCCCCCTCTTCCTTCACAAATTTGCCTCTTGAAGCCATCTAGGTGGGTGGCCATTGCTGCCTCCAGTGGCGGGGAGTTCTGTAGTTTAGCTATGCACTACGTAAAGGAACTGCTTCCTTTTCTCCGTGCCGAATCTTCCAACATTCAGCTTCATTTAGATACTCCTGCGTTCCAGTGTAATGTGGGTTTGGGGGTTGGGAACTTTTCTCGATCCGCTTTTCTTCACACAATGCATAATTTTGCAAACTTCTCCACCCCCTCGATCCCTCGGGATGAGGCGTTGGCCTGAAGCCCTTGCCGTCCTGCTTTTGCATTAGCTTGCCAACGGTTTCCCCAAAAGTTGCATTTAAGTGTGTGTTTTAAAATGTGAAATGGTTCTTTCTAAATGTTTGGGTGCAGGCCGGACGGTAGAGGAAAGGGAACCTGGGGGGTAAACAAGAGGGAGAGAACAAGATGGTTTGTGCCATTATTTTAAGTTGCAAATCACCCCGCGGGGCACGGACGGAAATGTCGTTTGTGCATGTGCTAAATAAATAAATAGCAATAAAAATACAAAATGCTCGCGTGCATCTTTGGGATAAGGCAAGCTGCGGATTAAAATGATCAATGAATAATGGTGGGTTTGGGGGGGTCAGTATTTTCTGGTGTGGTCAGTCTCTTGCTGTGTCTTCACTTCCTTTTCCATCCTGGCACCCTCCAGATGTTTTGGACTACAAAACCTCTGGTGGGCATCCGGTTGGCAGGGGCTGCTGCCCTAGGGAATTGTAGTTCAGAACTGATGGGAATTGATGGGAATTGTAGTTCAGAGCTTCCAGGGCAGTGTCAGAAACTCAGCTATATAAGCCAGGCGGCAAATGGCTCCTTAAACCAAGGTCAGCAAAACGGCATACCTAGTTACCATTATGGGCAAGTCTTATTTTTTCAAATGATGGACTGACTGTGATAGATTCTCAGTTAAATATCTGGCTAGTTCAGAGGACCAGTTAAGAGCTTTGAAAAACTAAAAAAGAAAAGTCTCTTGATCCAGGGACAGCCAACATATATATTGGCCTATTCCCACCTCTTTTTCTTCATGACCATTCATAAAGCAAGAATACTCTTCGCAACGGTGAGCAGGGCAGCACGGGGTGTGGGGGGGGCTGAGTCAAGAAAAGCTACAACTGTTAACTACAACTTTGTTCACTGCTGCTGCTCAGGATGCGCAGAAAAAGCAGTTTGCTTCCTGAAATTCATTCCCAGAGTGCAGATGAAATAGAACGGATAGAATTCTACAAGATGGGATCCTACTGTGTGAAAACAAGATCTATAATAACAATAATAACAATAACAATAATAATTTATTTATTTATACCCCACCCATCTGGCTGAGTTTCCTCAGCCACTCTGAGTGTTAAAAACAGTACAGCATTAAATAATAAAAACTTCCCTGAACAGGGCTGCCTTCAGATGTCTTTTAAAGATAAGATAGCGGCTTATTTCCTTCACATCTGGTGGGAGGGCGTTCCACAGGGCGGGCGCCACCACCGAGAAGGCCCTCTGCCTGGTTCCCTGTAACCTCACTTCTCGCAAGGAGGGAACCGCCAGAAGGCCCTCGGCGCAGGACCTCAGTGTCTGAGTAGAACAATTGGGGTGGAGACGCTCCTTCAGGTATACAGGACCGAGGCTCTTTAGGGTTTTCAAGGTCAGCACCAGCACTTTGAATTGGGCTCGGAAACGTACTAGGAGCCAATGTAGGTCTTTCAAGACCGGTGTTATGTGGTCTCGGCAGCTGCTCCCAGTCACCAGTCTAGCTGCCGCATTCTGGATTAGTTGTAGTTTCCAGGTCACCTTCAAAGGTAGCCCCACAAAGAGCGCATTGTAGCAGTCCAAGCGGGAGATAACCAGAGCATGCACCACTCTGGCCAGACAGTCCGCAAGGAGGGTCTCATCCTGCATACCAGATGGAGCTGGTAGACAGCTGTCCTGGACACAGAATTGATCTGCACCTCCATGGACTGCTGTGAGTCCAAAATGACTCCTAGGCTGCGCACCTGGTCCTTCAGGGGCACAGTTACCCCATTCAGGACCAGGGAGTTCCCCACAACCATCCGCCTCCTGTCCCACCAAAAACAGTACTTCTGTCTTGCCAGGATCCAACCTCAATCTGTTAGCCGCCATCCATCCTCCAACCGCCTCCAGGCACTCACACAGGACCTTCACCACCTTCACTGGTTCCGATTTGAAAGAGAGATAGAGCTGGGTATCAGCCGCATACTGATGAACGCCCAGCCCAAACCCCCTGATGATCTCTCCCAGCGGCTCCAAGGATCCGCA